CCCCTCTCCTCTTTTCCCTCTCCCCTCTCCTCCCCTCCCGTCTCCTCTCTTCTCTTCCTTCCCCCCTCCCCTTCTTTCCACCCTTCCCTCCTCTCCTTTCCCACCATCTCCTCCCTTCCTTTCCCCATCCCCTCCCTCCCCCTTTCTCTCTCTTTTCTTCCTCCCTTCTCTCTCTTATAGTAGGGAGTTCCCTTATTGCATCTAAGAAAGGCATTTTGTAGAAATGTTCAGCTATATCTGAAGTCTGGACAGTAGGACGAGCTCATGTCCTGTTGGACATCTGTCAGCACTCGGCCAGTCCACTCTTCAGCATGTTTACATCCTCTCCGCCCTTCCCAATACTGGAAGGAAGACTCTGAAACACGAGTTGACCATTTGTATTTGTCAGTATTCCACATGGATTACTTCACGATAAGGACTCTCTTTTTCTTTCAGAGATAGTTATATAATATGACCACCATACTTACAGAAGGAGACTTGAAAGCAGCAATTATTGTGTATATAGTCAGGACTCACCTCCCTGAATCTATTGACAAGATCCTGAGTTGCTTTAGCAGAAGAAAAGATCACACACTGCAGAGATTCTCCCCTCCCAGTTTCCTGTCACTCCTTCATATTTGTTCATTTTCTCTCTCCCCTCTTCCCCTACCGCCCTGCTTGGGAAGAATTGGTTTTAATTTGTCTGTCCATTGCTCTCCTGTCTTTGCCAAACTTGTGTTTTAGATCAGGCAGTGGGGTGGTGGTGTTATACCCCCTTGGTGTTTTTTGACTTTTAGATAAATATTCTTCAGGGTATAAGAATATTGCTGACAATCTCTAAAGAATCAGAGGTTATTCTAAAAGAGTCTCTTACTGCAGGGACCTGACTTGGAAAGTGGTTGAGGTATCTTATAGACAGAGGCTCACAATAGATGAGGTGGACTCAGGTTTGAGTTTAGTTTCTCCCATTTACCAGTCACGTAATTAACCTTGCTAAGAGGCCCGGTTGTGAAAAGGAGAAGCAGAACTTATCTTCCAGGACAGAGGTGTTGCATATTCTGCATTGAAGACCACACATATGGCTGCTCATGTTGTGTACTGTAAAATCTTAGGGAAAACAGTATGTATGGGGCTCTTGAAATTGTGCAGTGTTCAGTGGTACCCTACCCTGTGGCATTCCATCTTGGTTTTATAGAACATAGCAGAAACAGTGAATATTTCCTTTTTCCCTTTGTAGCCCCTCTTTTCATGGTGTCATCTCTGTGCATAAGCTGCTACAGAGCAGAGACTGTAGCTGAGTCTCTGCTTCCTGGGCTGAGGATAGCACTTGGCACAGAGCATAGGAGCTCTAGGTATCTCTGGGTTGGGGCTGTAGCTCAGTTGGTAAGCACTTGCTGCCTGGCATACATGAAAGTCTGAGTTCTGTCTCCAGCATTATATAAACTGCATGTACATACCTGTAATCCCAATACATAGAAGGTAGAGGCAGGAAAGTCAAAAGCTCAAGGTCATCTTGGCTATTTTAGGGAGTTCAGGGTAGCCTGGGCTACACATAAACAAACAAAATCAGGTGGTGGTGGTGGGAAATAAGCTGAACAGAACTGACCACACACAAACATCATTTCACTCAGTGATTGTCACTTTTTAATCAGGAGCTTGCTTTTGCAGAGGACGGTTATAAATTTAACATACATCCAATTCAAAGTTGCATTTTATTTGGGTCAGGAAGTATTGGAGGAAGGAGAGTTGGGGAAAGTCTTCGCCAGGGTTTATTGCTTGCTTCGTATGTGCTGAGGGTAAGGGATGTGAAGCGGCCTAAGTTTAGCATTCAGGAGGAGGAATGGGAAGGGCTGGGTTTCAGGTGTTGCAGTGGGTAAGCTCCTATAGTTTGGGCTGCCAGTCTCAGAGTGGCAAGTGTGAGATCCTGACTAGCTAAGAGCTGGAGAGCTGATGGTAGATGTACGGGTATCTGGAGTCACTATCACCAGGCCTTCTTCAGGGTCCAGGTCTCTGCACAGTACTTACTCCCTTCCTGCCTCTTTGAGATCTGTTTTGGATGAGCTCTGCACACAGCTTCCTGTACAGGAGCAGGTCTTCCTGGGTGTGGGTAGATATTCCCAGGCAGGGGCACATCCTGTAGAAGGCATTGGAGCACATTCTTCGCCTGGTAGTTTTTCTTCTTTGGTTTTAAATGTTGGGTGTTTCCTATTGTTTTAGACCCACCTCCTCCAGATGGATCCCCTAATATCACATTGGTCAGTCACAATTCAGTAAAGGTTAAGTTCAGCGGTTTTGAAGCCAGCCATGGACCTATCAAAGCCTATGCCGTCATTCTCACCACTGGGGAAGGTAAGAGGGGTCCAGCATGGGTTAATCCTTGTAACTATCTTATCTTGGTTACTTTCTTACTGCTGTGATAAAACACCATGACCAAAGCAACTCATAAACGAAAGTGTTTAACAGGTTTACAGCCTCAAAGTGTTAGCATCCATGATGGTGGAACAAAGGCTCAGTGGCAGGAACATTTGAGAGCTCACCTCTTGATCCACAGCTAGGAATCAGAAGGGTTGGGGGTCTCACTGGCACTCATACTTGGAACATCAAAGTCCACCCCTCAGTGATACACCTCCTCCAACGAAGCCACATCGCTTGATCATTCCTGAACAGCTCCACCAACTGGGGACCAAGTATTCAAATACATGACCCTATGGGGCCATTCCCATTCAAACCACCACTGTGTCTGAGGCACGTCAGTGATATAAGTACATGCGTCTCTCCAGTGCAGTCTGTGCTGTGGCACCAACAGGGGACGGGGCAGCTGTTTGCTTGATATTCTCAAGGATCAGATAACAAGTACCTTAAGCTTTCCTGACTGTGAAGTCTCTGTCATAACTATCCGGCACCTTTGTGGTGATGTGGAAACATTACAGAAGATACAGGAGAGAGAAGGGGGAGCCCATCCCACAGTTGATTACACAAAGCTGAGGCTAGATTTGGACCACAGGCCATAATGGGTCAATTTAGGATGACCTGTTCTTGAAAGCAAGCACAAAAAGATTACTTTTGGGACTGTGAGGGCATCTTCCAGGTGAAAGAGGAGGGGAATGGGATGGTGGCTCTGGCAGTAAGAAGGGAATGGTTTGAGGGCAGCTTTGAAAGCAGCATGGTACCTGGTTTTACACAAGCAAGGGCAAGGGCGTTAGCATGGTTGGTAAAGTACTTGTTTTGTACAGGCCCTGAATGTAATCCCTAGGACTTACATTAAATAAAGAACTATGCATTGTGATATGCCTTTGTAATCCTGGTGCCAGGGAGGCAGAGACAGGAGGATCTCTGGACTTTCAGGCTAGTCAGCAAAGCTGGCTTGGCGAAGTTCTAGGGTAGAGAAAGACCCTGACTCAAAAAAAAAAAATAGTAGGAGGTGCCTGAGGAATGATACCTGAGATTTTCCTCTGGCTTCCACACACACGTAGACACATACTCATACAAAGTAGCTCTCACACACATGCACCTGCATTCCTGTGAACACAGATAAACAAAATGTGGCGTTCCTCCTGACTTTAAAAACATTTGAGTCGGTTTCTAAGCCTTTTATCATTGAATTTGTTTTTTTAACAAATTTTAAACTCAGACCTATGCTGAATGAAAAAGGTCCTGTTTACATGATGACCAGTCCAGTCAGCAGCAGCTGGATACAAGGTCTTGGGCCGGGAGGTCAGGGAATCTAGCTTCACGGTGTGGGCAACATGCTTCAGGCAGGTTTCGACTAGCTTTCTGCACTTTTTTTTCCTTGCTGGAGAATAGGGCCATAAGCCTTTATGAGTGACTCTGACGGAGGGATGAGTTGGTACAAGCCAAATACTAAGCACGAACCTGCTCCTGGAGCTCCTTGAGAGACAGTGGCATGCTGTCATCATGGAGCTATTCTATGACACATTGTCTTCCTGCTGTCACTCATCATTTACCTTCTGTGTTCCTTCCTTAGCTATCCAACCCTCCGCAGATGTTTTGAAGTACACCTATGAAGATTTCAAAAAGGGAGCCTCGGATACTTATGTGACATACCTCATAAGAATAGAAGAGAAGGGACAGTCTCAGGGCTTGTCTGAAGTCTTGAACTATGAAATCGATGTGGGGAACCAGTCCACTACCCTCGGCTACTACAATGGGAGGCTGGAACCTCTGGGCTCCTACCGGTAATATCAGGGTCCTTGCAGTTGGCTGCTGAGCCTCATGAATTTAAGGTTGTGTACTATGGTGGTAGACACATCTCAGTCACCTTATTTTCTCCTTTGTCTCCCCACAGGGCTTGTGTTGCTGGCTTTACCAATATTACCTACAACCTTCAAAATGATGGCCTCATCAATGGGGATGAGAGCTATGTGTCTTTCAGTCGATATTCAGAGGCTGTGTTCTTGCCCCAAGATCCAGGTAGAGGGAAACAAAAGCCCTGGGTTTTGTGCCTTATGTCTGCAGAAGCCTGCTGTCCATGCCCCTCTCTCAGGTGGCTAGGAGGGTGGAGGTTTTCATCTCTCTGAAACTGACATGTCCTTTGGTCTTTGGGGTCAGCCTAGCCCCCCACTCTGGGGTGCTTGAATGAACAGCTCCCCACTTCTCTAAACTGGTCATGTTTCTGCAGATTACTTAATCCTTTGCTTTCTAAGAGTTGTTTGTGGGCTTGTGTGACTTACTTAAGACTCCTTGAATGTTCACATTAGAAGGAGCCATAGAAATTGTCTTGTCTAAACTCTGCTTAGAAGTAAGGCTTCTAAGGCCTAGAGATGGGGGTGTGCCCAGTGTTACACAGTGTCTTAAATGCAGGCCTGAAATTCTAGCCTTAAATTCCTTGTGAATGGGTATCTCAGTGACCCAAGGTGAGGATTCCCCTCCTCCTTCAGGACAGAGACAGGTAGCTGACTGATCTGTTAGTCTGTTTTTTCAGAGCTACTGAGTAGAACAGATTACTCGGAAGGGAAATTCAGGGTGTTCCTACTCCTTCCCTTAAATAGCCCATAAAAAGAGTGGGTGTGGTGTTGTAGGTACTTCTGCTCATAGGTGACAGGAAAAAAAGCACTGATCAAGCACAGGTGCCCAAATTTGCAGCTGAAAAGAGTCCTAGGTCAGGACTGTGCTGTTCTCAGGCCATCCTGTTAATGGTAGGTAGGCTAAGGGAGAAGAAACCAGCCCCTGAAAGCTGTTCTGATTTTACATCCAAAGATGTTTACTTGTTCCCTGTGTGCACTACACTCCCTCTCTCCCTGAATCCTGCATTGGCAGGCTGGCTGTGGGTGTAGCACATGGCCCTTCATGAACACTCTTTGAAATGCCTCTGTTGGGATCTTCCCCAGGTGTCATCTGCGGAGCAGTGTTTGGATGTATCTTTGGTGCCCTGGCCATCATGGCTGTGGGAGGCTTCATCTTCTGGAGAAAGAAAAGGTGATATTGCTTATTAATCATCAGGTGCTACTGTTTAAGGGAACTTCTTATTGTAAGGAGTGGCAACCGTTTGTAAAATCAGAGGGAATCGTTGAAAGAGCTCCTGTGTTCTTCACAGTGTGGTCACCTGGACATCTTAGTTCCTCTCTGATGCCAGTTGGATGGTTTGACTCTAAACCTTCTCTCAGCTGCATCAGACCCACACTGACATGCAGGGTGCTACCTTCAAGCCAGGATTCTATGAATGTGTTAAGAGTTTCATGTGACTCTCAGAGTTGGGCAAGTTGACCTCAGGTTCCATTCCTGCTGGTGGTTGGAAGCCCCAACACTCCCCTCTGTGGTGTGGGAGTGAGTGTGAGTGAGACTTAAGGAGCTGAAGACATTGGCAAATGTCTCACTTCATGGTGTTATTCATCATTCTCTTTGTACAACCACCCTGTGGTGTAGTTAACTAGTGAGACTAGTGCTCTGTGTACCTGGATCCATCGTCTCCCTGAGGCTCTACCAGGCAGGTATTAAAAGCCCTATTCGGGATGCAGAAGCCAAAAGAGGAACTTGAACTTGGTCTTAGCATTTACTGTATTCCTCTTGCCTGACTCTGGGGAACCCATGTGTCAGTTGGAATGTGCCTATTGCCAGGTGCTTCTAGCTGGAAATTTACATCTGGGATTGGGCTTTCTTAGTATCCTCCCCTCCGTTTTTTTGAAGACAGAGTCTTGTGTATACCAGGCTATCTCAAATGTAGCAGATGAAGACCCTGAATTCCTGATCCATCTGTCTCTATCTACCAAGTGCTGGAATTATAGGCATGTGCCACCTAAACTTGTTTTAACAAGAAGACAGTAGTTGTTTTACCTCCCCCCCTCAAGTAAATCAGATACTTTCTCTTCATATCAATTAAATCTTTTATACTTTGCTAAAAAAAAAAAAAAAGAAAGAAAGAAAAGAATCAGAACCTAGAGCAAAACTCTAAAATGTGAGTTTTCAAGTCTGTAGAGCAGGACAGCAGCACAGGGAACCAGGCCCTGGAAAGAAGCAGAGTTAATCAGAGCTATGTAGCTGCACTTGTCTCAAACCAACAACAAGCAAAGCACCAATACCCAAACTCAAACCCACAGTAGCAGAAAAAACCCATACCCACAAGAAGAGCAAAGTAAATAGGATACCCATAATACGACAAATCTGTTCTCACCATCTTCATGTGATTACAACGCTCACCCCCAGCAGAGTCCCGTTACACACATTAATGACTGTCCTCCTTTGTTCACGTCAGACCTGATGGAGGTCTTCATTACAGCATCATTTTAAGTAGCTGCCTGGTATTTTCCATCATCCACTTAACCGTTTTACTGGATATTTTAATTATTATTGACTACAGTTACATGAGTGTGCTCATGATTATTTTCCTAGGCTAAATTCCATGCCAGAGGGTCAGTGGACATACTTTCTTTCCATGTTGGGACATGCTGTCCAAACTGTGATGTGTTTCAGAACAATGCCAGTGCTCACAGTATCGGTGCTGGATCTGATGCCCTTTCAGGACTTGTCCTTGCTTCTTTGCATTAATTTACACAATGGCTTCCTCAAAAGCAGAACATGGAATAAGGGAATTTAAATACACACACATGAGTGCACATGAGGATGCATATGTAAACTACACTACACACACACACACACACACACACACACACAGAAATTCCAAAAAGTTGTTTGAATAGATTTTGATTCTTCTCAATAAGAAAAGAGTAAGTTTACAGATTTTTAGTTTGCATTTCCTGCTTACTTAGACTAAGTACTAGTGAGCAGTCTTTATGTTAGGCTGGGTACTAGGGAGCAGGCTATGTGTTGGGCTGGGTACTAGGGAACAGGCTATGTGTTGGGCTGAGTACTAGGGAGCAGGCTGTAGTGTCCTACCTGAACCACAGGCTGTGAAGAAAGGTGTCTGTGGATATGAGGAAGGCAGCAGAGCAGGATAAAGTTCTTTATTTAATGGACCTTTTTTTCTTCTTTCAAAATAGGACAGATGCCAAGAATAATGAAGTGTCCTTTTCTCAAATTAAGTAAGTCTCTGAGTTACAAACTTATTTTAAGATTCTCAGTCCCCCAGTCTGTTCAGTGACTATCTATAGCATTTTTTGATAGAAAAATAGCTGTCATTTCCCCTGATTGACAGATTGGCCACAGCCATATGGACGTTCTTGCTGTTTTCTGCAAGGAGTCTTTGTTTTACTAAGTTCACCTGAAGCTCCCTTTATTTTTGTCTCCCACCCCACATTTTTCTGTTTTACCAATAAATAGGGTTCTGTGTGTGTGTATATGAGTGTGTATGTATGTTTATATGTGTGTGTGTATGTATGTGAGTGTGTATGTGTGTATGTGTATGTATGTGTGTATGTGTATGTATGTGTGTATGTGTGTGTATATGTGAGTATGTGTGTGTGTCTGTATGTGTGTGTATATGTGTGTATGTGTGTGTGCAGTGTACATATGCATCCTCACGTGTGCTCAGAGGCCAGAGAGGATGTTGGGTGTCTTACTCTTTATCTATGATTGCTCAGTTCACTTGAGACAGGGTTCTTGCTAAATTCAGAGCAGTGCTGGCAGTCAGCAAGCCTCAGTCATCCTCCTGTCTCTACCCTACCTGAGCACTGGAATTACAGGTGCATGTGGCCACACTAGTTCTCATATGTGGATGCTGAGGATTGGAACTCAGGTCCTGGAGCTTGAACACTTAGTGCTCTGGCCTACGAGCTGTCTCCACAGCACCCTCCCCTCTCCCCCACCCCCCCATAGATAATTGTCGGTTTTCAAAAATGAGTGGTTATCAAGTCAGACATATGGCCAGATATAGAATAGATCTGCTTTCCTGAGTCACATTGCAGTGTTTTAAATACCGTTACATTGCTCTCTAGCCCACGCCCCTAGCTATGCTGGCTTTGTTCTTTTGAGTTGATGTTTACTTCCAGAATGAGTACATCGTTCTAATTGTTCTTTTTTTTCTTTTTCTTTCCTATGATGAAGACCTAAAAAGTGAGTAGCCTCATTTTTAAAGCTTCCTTTTCTTCTTGTTTTGAGTATGAACTTGAGTGAATGAGAAATAAAGCAAGCAAGCAAGCAAACAAACAAACAAACAAAACCCCAACAATTGTTTTTTGTTTTCCCAGATCCAAGTTAATCCGAGTGGAGAACTTTGAGGCCTACTTTAAGAAACAGCAAGCTGACTCTAACTGTGGGTTTGCAGAGGAATATGAGGTATGTGGTTGTTAACTGTGTTTTCTGCCAGACTGTCTTATGGTGAAGCTTTGGGTAAGAGGCAGCCTACAGGAGAGAGAAGATTGTGTCTGATCCTCTGGGGCACACTTCTGTTGGCTGGGAAGCTCACATGGACCTTTACTTCTGGTGGAGTTTGTGTTTAATCTTGTAGATACCTGAGGATTATCCAGGGAGAGACAGAGATGGTTGACTGAAGCTAGGGGGTTATTAACTAGTCCCTAATAGGCTAGATGAGCAGGAAAGAAGCCAGATGGGCCATTCAGAGGTCTGGGTCTGAGCAGCTCTGGGGTCAGAGCTGCCTTCGGGTCAGAGCTGCCTTGGAGTCGGAGCTGCCTTGGGAGGACTATTGGAACCCTGAGTTAAGAGTTTGTCAGTCTCTTGCCTTCTAGACTCTGCTACCTCAAACTAGCCCAGGGAACTGTCATATTGCAGAAGATGCATGCATGCTTGTCCCCGCATGATGTGCCCGCTGCTGTCTGATTTTGCACTCCTGCAATCTTGCCCACAGCTCCATCACAATCCATCCTCATTCCAACACCTCCCGCCCCCAAACCCGGTTCCTCAGATCCCACGGGAGGACGGTCTCTGGCTATGTTGCATTTGTCCTTATACTGCCTGGTTCCATCTGTGGCCTGTGTTGCCAGGCTCAGGACTCCTGACCACACCTCCCCTCTAGGTTTCCAGCCCCTAGAGGGCAAGAATCATCCTTTCCCTTTCTTCTGGAAAGCCCAGCTGTCCTTGAGGGGAAGCATGGCTTCATCTGCACCATTACCACCATGAGGTGTTTCCTCTTGTGTGTCTGTGTCTTTATACCCACACTATAATGACATTGCCCATATTAGGTGTAAGTTCCCCCCCATTCCAGTGTGACTTCCACCTGATTGTATCTTCCATGGCCATGTCCTGTAAGAGCCTACTTGAAGGTATTGGAGGTTAGATGCTCAGCGCCTCTTTCTAGTTTGCCGGAGTTAACATGTTTTGCCTCTGCATTTCTACTTTGTTTGACTATACCCCATGCTCTGATTAAGCATACAACCCACTTGTGGTTTTTTTTCCCAGGATCTGAAGCTGATTGGAATAAGTTTACCTAAATATACAGCTGAAATAGCCGAAAACAGAGGGAAGAACCGCTACAACAATGTCCTGCCCTGTGAGTGGTTTTATTCCTTTCGTCTTTCTTTGTGCCTGCCATCACAGAGACAGCAGAGAGATGGGAATCAGTGATACCCACCCGGTATCTCCACCACCACTCAGCACCAGATATTCTCACAGTTATCCTTGTATGAGCCAAGTACTGTACGAGGGGATGGTACATTTAGTTTAGTCTTTACATCCTCGGCTTATAGAGTAGGTGGTCAGAACATTCATCCTGTATGTGAAGAAAACGAGGCAGCATGTTAGATGACATGCTCAGGTTGCATTCTAACTCTAGTTTGGATTGTTCTAGATGAAAGTGGCTGCAGGAGGAACAGGTCCCTTGTCACACTCTCTCCTTGCTAGATGTGTTCCACAGCTAACTAGCAGTCACACGGGAGACCTTTCCTGCTTTGGGGAATTGCTCGAGTTTGTATGTGGCTGACTGGCTTTGACTGTCAACTTGTTGAGTCTAGAATCATGTGGGAAGGGAGTCTTAGGAATATCTAGACCAGGTTGGCCCATAAGGTATCTTTGGGGCATTATTTTGATTTTTAATTAATAGGAGAAGCCCTAATGAGCAATACCATTCTGTAGGCAGAGGGTTCTGAACAATCTAAGAGAGAACGCTTGCTGAGAGAGCAGGCAAGCAAAGGTCCATGTGTTTGCTCTTTCTGCGTGAGTGTGGGCATGATGCTTTAATCCTGTCTTGGTTTGCCTTGCCAGGTAGTGGTGGTACACGCCTTTAATCTCAGCAATTGGGAGGTAGAGGCAGGCAGATTTCTGAGTTCGAGGCCAGCCTGGTCTACAGAGTGAGTTCCAGGACAACTGGGGCTATACAGAGAAACCCTGTCTCCAACCCCCCCAACTCCCCAAAAAAAAGAACTTTAAAAAATCCTGCCTTGCCTTGCTCACAATGGTGTGATCTGGAATTGTAAGCTACATAAACCCTTCCCTCTCTGTGCTGCCTTGAGTCAAAGTGTTTGTCACAGCAAAAGGAATGAAACCAGAGTAGCGCTTACCCAACAAGGTATATAGAGGATGGCCAGTGATGTGAATTCTCTGCTGTGCAGGTCGGTTGCACAGGAATTAGGGCACAGAGAGCAGTGCCAGTGGATCTTAGCCATGTTCTGCCTGTCAGGAGGATGCTTGGTTTTGTGGGTAACGTTTATACCAAACTGTGTAATATCTGTCTTTTTTTTTTAATTTGAAGGCATGCTTTTTTTATTAATTTGTATTTAAACTCAGTATTTTTTAGGTTGTGGGTTCTTTTTCTGTTTTTTTCCCTTATACTTATCAATGGGTCTTGTCCCTGATCAGAGAGAAGTGATTCTGAAACCATGCCGGGATAGCTGTCAAGTCTCTGTCCTTCTGAGACTAACTCATAGACATTTAGCCTACTTTTAGAGAGCTTCTGATTTTGAATGAAGGCTGGGAATTTGATGTTTGGGTGTTGTTTCTATTGACAAGACTTTCACTTGAGACCCACATCACCTCTGGGTTTACTGTTACTATTGCTGTGTCCCAGGGAGGGTAGGCAGTGGGTTCAGATGGGGACCAGGAGCTGTCCTTGGTGCTACTACCCATGACTTGTCTTGACATTAGGATTTTCTTTAGTTATTTCACTTCTGGAGTTGAGCACACTTGTGTGTATGCTCTCTAAATGAGAATGATGTTTAGAAAACATGAGACATTCGTATTTTAGGTTCCTCCATTTATAGTAGTTTTATTCATTCAGTTTAGGTCAATACTGGGTTACCTTCCTCAATTGCTCTGTCTTATTTTTTTTTGAAAATAATTTTTTATACAATATATTCTGATCCTACTTTTCTCCCCCTCATATCCCCTCAGATCTTCCCCACCTTCTTGCCAATTCATTTTTGAGACCTAGATCTTGCTGAGTCAAGTAGATTAGCTGACCATCGAGCCCCAAGGAAACTCCTGTTTCTCCCTCTCCAGTGCAGGGATTATAGGAGTGCACAGTAGGTACTAGGGTTTGAACCTGGATCCTCATGGCTTGTATGGCAAGCACTTTACTGATGGAGCTATCTTTACAACTTCAAATTTAGAACTTTATCTGTCTATCATTAATCCATCCATCCATCCACCCATCCATCCATCCATCTATCAAACACTGAACTATCTATCTATCTATCCATCCATCCATCTTTAACTTACTGTCTATACGTATGGCTGTGGCTGTGCTATGGCATATGTGTGGAGGTCAGAGAACAGTCTCTTCTTCCATCATGTGGGCCTTGGAGTCAAACCATCAGGTTTGGCAGCAAGCACCTTAAATGGCCTAGCCATCTCACCAGTCCAATAACAACTTTTTAAGGCTGTGGGAGAAAGGTTAACTCGGATGTCTTCTTTGCCATAGTAGAATAGGCTCTGAGTTCAAATTCTGTCTGCTTCCAGATAGAATTCTGTTCCTTCAGATAGAAGGCCTTGGAAATGTCACTTTGTCTCTGGAACTTCTGATTTCCTTATCTTGAAAGCTTGTGGGATGGTTTTGTGGTCTGGCTATGGTTGCTTAGCACCTGTCCAGCTCAGAGCAGATGTCCTAGGCTGCTGGAGTGAGGGCTTCTTTAGTCTGAGAAGGTAAGGATGTAGGCTTGGCTGTTGGGCTGCCTAGGTTCCAATCCTAGTACTCCAAAGGCTGTCATGCATCTTCTCTGTACCACTGTCAAAGACCATCCATCAGGATCAGGTGAGATCGTGAATGTAAGATGTGAAGCATTGTGGAAGCTATGGGCTGCTGGCTTGTACTTCTAAAATTTTCCTGCATGCAACTTTCCTGAAGCATGACATAGAATGAGGATATTTCTTTCTTTTAATACCACAGATGATATTTCTCGAGTCAAACTTTCAGTCCAGACCCATTCGACGGATGACTACATCAATGCCAACTATATGCCTGTAAGTGAGTGGCTGCTCTCATGGCCTGAGGCTCCTCTGAATAGGAGCATGTCTGTCTGTGCCTTTGATGGTGACTGAGCTGTCTATTTCTAGGGCTACCATTCCAAGAAAGATTTCATTGCCACACAAGGACCTTTACCCAACACTTTGAAAGATTTTTGGCGAATGGTTTGGGAGAAAAACGTATATGCCATTGTTATGTTGACCAAATGTGTGGAGCAGGGAAGGGTAAGTGTCTTTTGAAAAATCATAAATTAATTTTTATTGTGGTAGAGGATATCTTGAAATCCATCTGTCTTTTAAAAATCCTTCTTCCCAAACATTAATACTTTCATCCAAAGAAAATATTCTGTATTTTTAGCTTTTAGAGAGAAGATTTAAAAAAATTAAAAAAAAAATCTTGAAAAACTTTTTTATTATGTTTCTTTGTGGGTTCATATTAATGTCTGTGATCGAGTCTGTAGAGTTAGTGAGTGAATGGACCTGGGTTAATGCAGTGGACACTGCAGGCTTAGGGTGACCATGCGGTTCTGCTGTCGTCAGCTCTGTGCCTAGCTGTGTGGTCTCTAAGCAACCAACTCTTAAATATCTGATTTTCAGACTTAGTTTTTAACATTTAAAACATTTTCAGACTTATCTATAGGTGTGTCTCGGCGGCCCCCTCTCTTCTTTGTGGCCTGGATCCAATCTGCCATTTCTGTCACAGAAAGGAGGATCTGTTCTGGGAATAAAAATCTCATATTTCTTTAAATAGAGATGAGTTGAAAAAAAAAACACACGCTAAATTAAAAAGCTGTGTACCTGAAGAATGAGAATTAATATTATTTCTTGGAGAGTTGTTAATTACTGTTATTATTTAGTGTTAGGGATGGGACGTAGGGTCTTGGCTGAGTCCATGCTAATTGTGTCTCGGCGTGCCGTGCTTTGCCACTGAGCAGTGCCCCAGCTATTAGTGGTTTATATTTTGTTGTTGTTTGCTTTGTTTTGTTTGTTTGTTTTTTGAGACAGGGCTTCACTCTTAGCCTAGGTTGGACTTGAACTTAGAGCAATTCTTCTCCTTCAGGTTCCTAAATAATGAGATTATTGGCATGAACTCCTATGCCTAGAACAAAGTATTCATTCTCTCTCTCTCTCCCTCTCTCCCTCCCATCCCCCCCACCAAGTGTAGATTCCCTTCTTGAGTCCCTAAGTCAGTGATTCCCATACTGCCCTGTCCACCACATCTTCAGGGTGTTTCTGTCTCAGTGCTCCTTGTTGAAGGGTTCCAACAGCTCGAAGGTGTGCCACTGGTGACCAGGTGTCATCCATGAGTGCTGCTGTCCCAGGTGGTAACTGGAACCTGTTGGACATCATTCCTTAAAATTGATTTTTTATTATATTGTGTATATGATGTGTATATGTTTGTGTGAGAGTGTATATGCCACAGGAAATACATGGTCAAATGCATGGTCCATGTGATGTTTCTGGAAGTGGGATGTAGTACTGGACTCAGGTCTGTAGGCTTACACAGCCAATGATTTACCTGCTGAACTACCACACAGACCCAAATCACTTAAAGACTCACTTATGCTATTCTGAGTTGTTAGTACCTGTGTGTATCTCTGTGTTTGGGTCAAACAGACGCTGCTAAGTGACTGAACAGTCCCCTGTGACAGTTTCATGACTTCTTTTTCCTTGAGAGGTTTTGATGATGGTGACTGTGTGATCCCTGACTTTTCATATAACCAAACCTGTGTTCTAGACCAAATGTGAGGAGTACTGGCCTTCCAAGCAGGCTCAGGACTACGGGGACATAACTGTGGCAATGACATCAGAAGTTGTTCTTCCAGAATGGACCATCAGAGATTTCGTGGTGAAAAATGTAAGTCAAGATTGGTCTGAGAAAACCAAGGGGTATTAATATTGACAATAACTAATATTTGGTGCACGAGAAAAGCATTTTTACTTCTTTTATTTATTTCACAATTAAAGTGCCCATATCTGCATGATCTCCAAGGAGTCCCTAGCTTTATTTTCTTGAGGGGACTTTTGTGTCCTTTCTGAATAAACGAGTCTTATGAGCATAGCTGTGTCAGCGACACTTTCCTTTCCAGGAAGACTTTGGGTCATCTGGGTGGGGATATGCATGGGGGTAGGGTGGTGCTTAGTGCTAGGAACAGTTTGTATTGATTCTAGGATTCTGATTCTAGGGCATATGCAATGTCCTCCTTTCCCCCACAAATTACAAAACCAAATCCAGCTAAATCACACAGACATTATAGGAAGCTGAGTCTATTTTTCTTTTCTTTTTTTTTTTTTTTTTTTTAATTTTTTTATTGGATGTTTTATTTACATTTCATATGTTGTCCCCTTACCCCATCCCCCACCCACCCAGGAACCCCCAATCCCCTCACACCTCCTCCTTCTTCTTTGTGGATGTAACCTCTATCTACCCCCCCACTCCCACCTCCCCACCCTCAAAACTCCCACCCCCTGGGACGTCCAGCCTTCATGAGGTCAAGGATCTCATCTTCCACCTGTGCCCAGCAGGGCCCTTCACTCTTATATATTCAGCTAAGGCCCTGGATCCCTCCATAAGTGCTCCCAGGCTGGTGGTTTAGACCCTGGGAGCTGTGGTTGGTTGGTATTGTTGCTCTCCTCATGGGGCCACAAATCCTTTCAGCTCCTTCAGTCTTCACTCTAACTCCTCCATTGAGAACCCCATGATCACTTCAATGGCTAGTTGTGAGCATCTGCCTCTGAATATGTCAGACTCTTGAAGACCTCTGAGGAGACATCCATATCAGGCTCTTATCAGCATGCACTTCCTGACTTCTACATCAGCATCTACCTTTGGTGACTGCACATGGGATGGATACTCAGGTGGAAAGGTCTTCAGACGGCCCCTCCTTCAGTTTTTGTCCCTCGCTTTGTCTCCATATTTGCTCCCTTGAGTATTTTGTTGCTCCTTCTAAGAAGGACCGAATCACCCCCACTTGGTCTTCATTCTTTATGGACTTCATGTGGCCTGTGAGTTGCATCTTGGGCATTTTAAGGTTCTGGGCTAATATCCAATAATCAGTGAGTGAATACCATGTGTGTTCTTTTGTGATTGGCTTACCTCACTCAGTATGATAATTTCTAGTTCCATCCATTTACCTAGGAACCTCTCAAATTCATTGTTTTTAATAGCTGAGTAATACTCCATTGTGTAAATATACCACATTTTTTTAATCCATTCCTCAGTTGAAGGACATCTGGGTTCTTTCCAGCTCCTGGCTATTATAAATAAGGCTGCTATGAACATAGTTGAGCATATGTCCTTATTATATGTTCGAGCACCTTCTGGGTATATGCCTAGGAGTGGTATAGCTGGATCCTCGGGTAATGCTATGTCCAATTTTCTGAGGAACCGCCACACTGATTTCCAAAGTGGTTGCACCATCTTGCAGTCCCACCAACAATGGAGGAGTGTTCCTCTTTCTCCACACCCTCGCCAGCATCTACTATCACCTGAGTTTTTAATCTTAGCCATTCTGACTGGTGTGAGATGGAATCTCAGGGTTGTTTTGATTTGCATTTCCCTGACGACTAAGGATGCCGAGCATTTCTTTAGGTGCTTCTCGGCCATTCGAGTTTCTTCTGTTGAAAATTCTTTGTTAAGCTCTATACCCCATTTTTTAATAGGGTAATTTGGTTGCCTGGAGTCTAATTTCTTGAGTTCTTTGTATATATTGGATATTAGCCCTCTATCAGATGAAGGATTGGTAAAGATCTTTTCCCAATTTGTTGGTTGTCGTTTTGTCCTATTGACAGTGTCCTTTGCCTTACAGAAACTTTGCAATTTTATGAAGTCCCATTTGTCAATTCTCGATCTTAGAGCATATGCCATTGGAGTTCTGTTCAGGAACTTTTCCCCTGTGCCCAAGTATTCGAGGCTTTTCCCCACCTTCTCTTCTATTAGTTTCAGTGTATCTGGTTTTATGTGGAGGTCCTTTATCCACTTAGATTTGAGCTTTGTACAAGGGGATAAGAATGGATCAATTTTCATTCTTCTACATGTTGTCCTCCAGTTGAACCAGCACCATTTGTTGAAAATGCTGTCCTTTTTCCACTGGACAGTTTTAGCTCCTTTGTCAAAGATCAAGTGACCATAGGAGTGTGGGTTCATTTCTGGGTCTTCAATTCTATTCCATTGATCTTCCTGCCTGTCTCTGTACCAATACCAGGTAGTTTTTATCACTATTGCTCTGTAGTACAGCTTGAGGTCAGGGATGGTGATTCCTCCCGAAGTTCTTTTATTGTTGAGAATAGTTTTCGCTATCCTAGGTTTTTTGTTATTCCATATGAATTTGAGAATTTCCTTTTCTAACTCTGTGAAGAATTGAGTTGGGATTTTAATGGGGATTGCATTGAATCTGTAGATTGCTTTTGGCAAGATGGCCATTTTTATTATATTAATCCTGCCAATCCATGAGCATGGGAGATCTTTCCATCTTCTGAGATCTTCTTCAATTTCTTTCTTCAGAGACTTGAAGTTCTTGTCATACAGGTCTTTCACTTGCTTGGTTAGATTCACACCAAGGTATTTTATATTATTTGCAACTATTGTGAAGGGTGTCATTTCCCTAATTTCTTTTTCAGTCTGTTTATCTTTCATGTAGAGGAAGGCTACTGATTTGTTTGAGTTGATTTTATAACCAGCCACTTTGCTGAAGTTGTTTATCAGGTTTAGGAGTTCTCTGGTGGAAGTTTGGGGGTCACTTAAGTATACTATCATATCATCTGCAAATAGCGATATTTTGACTTCTTCCTTTCCTATTTGTATCCCTTTGACTTCTTTTTGTTGTCTAATTGCTCTGGCTAAGACTTCCAGTACTATATTGAATAGGTAGGGGGAGAGTGGGCAGCCTTGTCTAGTCCCTGATCTTAGTGGGATTGCTTCAAGTTTCTCTCCATTTAGCTTGATGTTGGCTACTGGTTTGCTGTAAATTGCTTTTACTATGTTTAGGTAGGGGCCTTGAATTCCTGATCTTTCCAAGACTTTTATCATGAAGGGATGTTGAATTTTGTCAAATGCTTTCTCAGCATCTAGTGAGATAATCATATGGTTTTTTTCTTTAAGTTTGTTTATATAGTGGATTACATTGATGGATTTCCGAATATTGAACCATCCCTGCATTCCTGGGATAAAACCTACTTGATCATGATGGATGATTGTTTTGATGTGGTCTTGGATTCGGTTTGCTAGAATTTTATTGAGTATTTTTGCATCGATGTTCATAAGGGAGATTGGTCTGAAGTTCTCTTTCTTTGTTGGGTCCTTGTGGGGTTTGGGAATGAGTGTAATTGTAGCTTCATAGAACGAATTGGGTAGTGTTCCTTCTGTCTCTATTTTGTGGAATAGTTTGAAGAGAATTGGTATTAGGTCTTCCTTGAAGGTCTGATAGAATTCAGCACTAAAACCATCTGGTCCTGGGCTTTTTTTAGTGGGGAGACTTTTAATGACTGCTGCTATTTCCTGAGGGGTTATGGGACTATTTAGATGGTTTATCTGCTCCTGGTTTAATTTTGGTACCTGGTATCTGTCTAGGAAATTGTCCATTTCACCCAGGTTTTCCAGTTTTGTTGAGTATAGGCCTTTGTAGTAGGATCTGATGATTTTTTTAATTTCTTCCGTTTCTGTTGCTATGTCTCCCTTTTCAGTTCTGATTTTATTAATTTGGATACTCTCTCTGTGCCCTCTGGTTAATCTGGCTAACGGTTTATCTATCTTGTTGATTTTCTCAAAGAACCAACTCCTGGTTTTATTGATATTTTGTATTGTTCTTTCAGTTTCTATTTGGTTGATTTCAGCCCTGAGTTTGATTATTTCCTGCCTTCTACTCCTCCTGGGTGTATTTGCTTCTTTTTGTTCTAGGGCTTTTAGTTGTGCAGTCAACTTGTTAGTGTGTGCTCTTTCCAGTTTCTTTTTGTAGGCACTTAGAGCTATGAGTTTTCCTCTTAGCACTGCCTTCATGGAGTCCCACAAGTTTTGGTATGATGTGTCCTCATTTTCATTGAAATCTAAAAAGTCTTTAATTTCTTTCTTTATTTCTTCCTTGACCAAGTCATCATTGAGTAGAGAGTTGTTCAGTTTCCATGTGCACATGGGTTTTCCATTGGTTTTGTCATTATTAAAGACCAGTCTTATTCCATGGTGATCTGATAAGAGGCAAGGGATTATTTCAATCTTTTTGTATCTGTAGAGGCTTGTTTTGTGACCAATTATATGGTCTATTTTGGAGAAGGTACCATGAGGTGCTGAGAAAAAGGTATATTCTTTTGTTTTAGGATGAAATGTTCTATAGATGTCTGTTAAGTCCATTTGGTTCATAACTTCTGTTAATGTCAAAGTGTCTCGGTTTAGTTTCTGTTTCCATGATCTGTCCATTGCTGATAGTGGGGTGTTGAAATCCCCCACTATTATTGTGTGAGGTGTAATGTGTGTTTTGAGCTTTAGTAAAGTTTCTTTTATGTATGTAGGTGCCCTTGCATTTGGGGCATAGATGTTCAGAATTGAGAGTTCACCTTGGTAGCTTTTTCCTTTGATGAGTATGAAGTGTCCTTCCTTATCTTTTTTGATTAATTTTGGATGGAAGTCGATTTTATTTGATATTAGAATGGCTACTCCAGCTTGTTTCTTGGGACTATTGGCTTGGAAAATTGTTTTCCACCCTTTTATTCTGAGGTAGTGTCTGTCTTTGTCACTGAGGTGTGTTTCTTGTATGCAGCAAAATTCTGGGTCTTGTTTGTGTATCCAGTCTGCTAGTCTGCGTCTTTTTATTGGGGAATTGAGACCATTGATGTTAAGAGATATTAAGGAAAAATGATTGTGGCTTC